ACAGGCAAAACAAAATGAATATCTCTGGCTCCTGGCAATATGCTGAGGCCTTATGAAGCAGATCAATCAGTAAGTGCATAATATATTTCTTCTGCTTATCTGGAAAGTTGCAATTTTCTATATAAAAACTAGATATTCATCACTATATGACAGAAGCATGAGCTTCAGACTGTCAAGAACATGCTCAAGACACCATGGACATTCATCAAGGAACCATGGATATTCATTTTGTTTTGCCTCTATATGTTTTTGCCTCTCTATATGCTGGCAATCATTGACTTCCATTTTACCAAGGACTTCTGTTTCAGCTAAAACTCTTCTTTAATGTTCTACTAAAGTACAAAGTCACCTTCCTTCCCCGCAGGAGAGTAAATTGACAAACTGAACTATCCCATTAATGCATTAAAGGGACAGTTTACCCAAAAATGAAATGTACCCAATATTTACTCACCGATTCCAAACATTTGTTAATTTATTTATTATGTTGAACACACATATGCACAAAAATATATTTTGAAGAAAACTGAAAACCATTGACTTCCATGGTAGGGAAAACAAATACTGTGGAAGTCCATGCTTACAGGTTTTCAGCTTTCTTCAAAACATTTTCTTTTGTGTTCAACAGAAGAAAGAAAGTCAAACAGGTTTGGAACAAGTGAAGGGTGAGTAAATGATGACAGTATTTTCTCCCTCTTTCACAAACATTCACTATTAAGTCCTTATTATAAAGTCTTACCTAAAACACCTGCTATTTGCACCTAAAAGTTTGAAGTAACTTAATATTATCAATCATGCCAGTTAGATTTGACATGGATCTGCTCTGCAAAAGAGAATGATGTCATGTATAGCAGCCTTTTATGTGAGTTAAAGCTGCCTTGAGGTGTCCACATTCCAGCAGGACATCATGTTACCGCGACACCTCCACATCTGAGTCACTTTATTCTCTGAGAAACACTAGACTCTGCCCTGCATGAGGCCGGTCAAGCCTGCAACACACAGGCAGGGCTTTTGGCAACAGCAAGAACTTCTTTGAACTCTGCTCAATAGCTTTTACTCTATACCTTTGTGCCAGCAAATCTTCATTCAAACCTGTTCCTCAGCTTCTTGAACCCGATCTTGTGATTGACAGGTTTTGCATCTGATCTAACTGGCAGTTGATGTATTATTATTTTTTGTATTAGCATGCATGGATGTTGTTTTCCAACTCTTTCCTATTTATCGTAAACAATGTAAGGTCAAATCTATTTGCGATTTAGCTGCTGGCAAGGTAGGCTCATGTGGAAATACTGGTAAATGCACTACTAGAATCTGGCTTCTGAAATGATGACACAAGTGCTTTTTATAATAGACTAATTTAACCCTCCCATAACGATCATTTACATAAACATACAACATCATGCTCTGTTGATTTGAGTTGGAGAAAAATATGATCTGCTGTGCATTTGGAAAAATAAGAAATCGAAGAGAATTTTTTTAATTTTTAAGATTTATTTATCAGATTTTTGTGACAGTTCACATACACAAGTAAAAAAGAAAATAACAGGAACAAAAATGAAATGTATAACAGTACAAAATGGAATAAAAGAATAAAAATAAACCACTCTATAACCCTTATATTGTGCAACACACAGTATATGATGTGCATAAGCAATATATGATGCTCATTCATTTTTACAAATTAAGCATATATAAACAGGTCATTACCAAAAATTGAGGTAGGCAGCATGGTGTATTAGGCAAAATAAATCATGATAATAAAAGAAAAAAGGGCTAATATATTTAAGGGATTAGGCTGAGGGGTGGCACATTCTTCAAACTTGTGGTTTTTATATCAGGAAGAGTTGTGCTATATCAGCACTAGTGTTCATTTGGAAGGTATAAAGACTAAAAGTACAAGATGGGCAACCATTCATTCTGCAGTAAATGCTACAAGATTCAGAAATTTTACATGCTCCAAAAATGGCAACTAAATGTTAGAAAATTTGATCACTGATCACTGAACCTCGAAGACTTTACTTTTTCTAATTTAACAAAAAAAAAGGCATCTTTATTCCATTTAGTATAAGATGGGGGTTGAGGAAACTTCCACCGCAACAAAATACACCGCCTAGCTAATAATTACAGAAAATGTTAATTAAAAAATAAAATGGTAACTCAGTGGCGCAGTAGGTAGTGTTGTCTCACAGCAAGAAGGTCACTGGTTCGAACTTCGGCTGGATCAGTTGGCGTTTCTGTGTGGAGTTTGCTTGTTCTCACTGCATTTGCGTGGGTTTCCTTTGGATGCTCCGATTTCCCCACAGTCCAAAGACATGGGGTACAGGTGAATTGGGTAGGGTAAATTGTCTATAGTGTGAATGAGAATGTATGGATGTTTCCCACGGATGGGTTGCAGCTGGAAGCGCATCCGTTTCGTAAAACATATGTTGGATAAGATGGCGGTTCATTCCGCTGTGGCAACCCCAGATTAATAAAGGGACTAAGCCGAAAAGAAAAGGAATGAATGAATAAATGAAAATGGTAACTCACAGTCAGGGGGTAGAACTTCAAACTGGTCAATTAACTGAGAAGGATCCATTTTTATAGGTTCCATAAGTAGGTTTAATAGGTTTATTAGGTAAAAGTCATGCAGGTTCAGCATGACATTTGTCACAGTTTGGATCAGCTGGGAACATGTTTAGCCAGTTTACGCTCAGACCAGTGAACTCTTTGGACTAGTTTGCTTTGTAGAATCCCATGATGAGCACATACAGATGATGTATAGACATTTTGTAAAATTGTTGACCAAATATCTTTCTTGATGTTTATGTTAAGATCCCTAGCCCAATTTTATACAATAGCTCAACTGATTGACTGTTTTTTTGTCTTTGCCATGATGACACTACATAATATTTTACTTGTTATTTTGCAAGAGACTGGTATTTAGCTTAATGTGCGATTTTTAAATGTTTAACTAGGTTAATTTGGTTAACTGACTTAATTAGGTAAGCCACAGGGTTTGTTCTGTAGAAAAAAAATCTTAAGAGGGCTATTATTGACCTTAAACAAACATTTAAATAAAAACTGCTTTGTTCCAGGCGAGGCAGTGGCGCAGTAGGTAGTGCTGTCGCCTTGCAGCAAGAAGGTCGCTGGGTCGAACCTCGGCTCAGTTGGTGTTTCTGTGTGGAGTTTGCATGTTCTCCCTGCCTTCGCGTGGGTTTCCTCTGGGTGCTCCGGTTTCCCTCACAGTCCAAAGACATGCGGTACAGGTGAATTGGGTAGGCTAAATTGTCTGTGTGTGTGTGGATGTTTCCCAGAGATGGGTTGTGGCTGGAAGGGCATCCGCTGCACAAAAACTTGCTGGATAAGTTTGCAGTTCATTCCGCTGTGGTGACCCTGGATTAATAAAGGGACTAAGCTGACAAGAAAATGAATTAATGAATGCTTTGTTCCAGGCCAATAAAATGATATATAAATGTATTTTTTATAAATGTATATATTAATATATAATTATTACAATTAATTACATATTTTTGAAATAAATGCAAATAAAAACAATATTCTTTCCATTCACTCACTCAACAGGTTGTTTCAGAGTCACTGGTCTGAGGCAAAAAACTAAATCATATTAATATTCTTAACTCTTAAATTCTGAAGATTAATTGAAGATCCCAATAATTAAATTATAAAAAAATGTAGCTGAGAATTTTGTGATAAAAGTTTGAAAGATTATAAAACATGTTTTTTTTTCTCACCAAGGTTACATTTATTTGATAAATTAATATGCAATAAAAAATGACTTTTGTGAAACGTGTTTGCTACTTTAAATAAGCATTTTATATTTTATACACTACCTGACAAAAGTCTTGTCACCTATTGAAGCTTTCGGAGCAACAAATAATATTTTCACTTCTATCATTTGGTATCAGAAGTGGCTAGTACAAAAGGCAAAGGCCTCCAGATTATGCCTTTTTTTACCAAAATAAAATATGATCAAGCCTTGATTTTTAATTATTTACCTAGGACAGTAAGGTCTGACATTGCGTAGACAAGTCTTGTCACTCACTCAGAATATGAAGTCATGGTGCAGTGGGAAAAGAATGAATATTTTGTATGACTCCCATGAGCTTGGAGGATTGCAGCCATACATCTCTGCAATGACTCAAATAACTTATTAATAAAGTCATCTGGAAGGGCAAAGAAAGCATTCTTGCAGGACTCCCAGAGTTCATCAAGAGTCTTTGAATTTATCTTCAATGCACCCTCAATCATTTTACCACAGACATGTTAAATAATGTTCATGTCTGGTGACTGGGCTGGCCAACCCTGGAGCACCTTGACCCTCTTTGCTTTTAGAAACTTTGATGTGGAGAGTGAGGAATGAGAAGGAGCGCTATCCTGCTGAAGAATTTGCCCTCTCTTGTGGTTTGTAATGTAATGGGAAGCACAAATGTCTTGATACCTCAGGCTGTTGATGTTGCCATCCACTCTGCAGATCTCTCACATGCCCCCATACTGAATGTAACCCCAAACCATGATTTTTCCTTCACCAAACCTGACTGATTTCTGTGAGAATCTTGGGTCCATGTGGGTTCCAATAGGTCTTCTGCAGTATTTGTGATGATTGGGATGCAGTGATTCATCAGAAAACCTTCATCTACCTTGTACCACTTTTCAAATGATCAACTACAAGTCAATGTTTTATTTATTGGTCTTACAACTGGGATCGATGACAAGACTTTTGTCAGGCAGTGTACTCTATAATGTCATTTATTTATGTAATGGCAAAGCTTAATTTTCATTAGTTAGCTTTATATGTCTAACTGACTCAATAAGCAATTTTTCTGTTAATGCTTTCAATGTTCTGTTATTTTCTTACTTTTTTTGTGGAAACTTTCATTTTCATTTTCCCATAAGGGAACATGCATTGATCATAAATAATCCACAAACGTGTGCCGTTTCTGTCAGTGTTTAGATCCCAATTTTTGTCAATTTGCACAAAATTACAAAAACAGTACAACAGATTCATTTAAAAAAAGGTTTATTACAAATATGTACACTTGTATAAAAAGCTTAAAATTTACACAGGCATTGAAATGAACAGCAATAGCCCATACAGTGATGCCTAACAGTAATCCACCTCTTTTTTACTTAAGCATTGTTTTCAAATGTAAAAAACATAAAACTTTCTGACCAAGTAATGTTTTGCTGTATTTTGCTCAGTGCTCCTTTTAGTTTAAACAATCCATGTACAGTGTCTCATATAAATACACATGTATTGTCAGAAGAAAGCTTGAATGAAATGTTACTAGCAATAATCAGTGCAATCACAGTCAACAAAAAACCCATAAAACCAATGACAAAGCTTCTCCAACGACGCTTAGCTACCATAAAATGAGCCGAAAACAGTCAGACATTGAATATCTCCCTTTTAACCCTTTAACATCCACTCTTTTTGGTTAAATTGTGTTCTTGACACTGCTCTAAGTGAATTTTGAGTTTTAATGATAACCAACCAGGCAGTTATGATGCCTTTTAAAGGGTTAAATATAATTTAACCTGCTTATTGACTGTTGACTATCAAACAACCTGCCTTTGGCTTTATACAGCAGAGATGCATGCACATGCATCTCTAGTCCATTTTGTGTCATATTTACGTCTAATTCCTTCTCTCGTCTTCATTTATCAGACCAGAAGTTTGGTGTGGTTGTGGTTGGACTGCTCGAATCTTTGCGAGCCCTTTTGGGGCTGTAACCTGGTGAATGGATGAAGGTTGGACTGCTTGGTGGAGATGAAGATGACGAAGAAGAGGATGAATGACAGGATGAAGATGATGCTTTGAGCTGGAGCCATTTATCGCCTAACGCCTTGGCAAAATGGTCGTCTACAGACACGCTGATGGACGTGGCTCTGTGGTAGTTAATGCCGAGGCTCCTCTGGAAATGCTCTTCGACGTGGTCATAACTGTGTTTGCTTACAGCTGTGGAGATACAATCAGATAGAGGTGCGTATGAAATATTCATTCTGATGAGCAGAAATGTGCATGGACTTGTTAAAGGACAAGAGCCAAGATTATGCGCATCTTTGTACTTACCAGTTGAGTGATTGCAGCAGTCCTGCTTTGTTGACCTTGATGCAGAAGAGACGCAAGTGATGACAGATGGCCGCATCTGAAAAAGACAAGAGAAGGTAAGATCATTTTTGTGGACACATTTCATTGTATGTTAAGCAGTGATTCAGCTTGTGACTATTGTGTTTCGAATTATGGGCTGCACTTTCTGTTTGGGAAAATCTCACTTGTCAACCTCTGGATATTCATCTATATTTGCGCATTTGCACACTGTAAAACCCAACAGTCAACTTTATCAAATGAAATGAGTGTAGGTAACTCAACATTGACTGAAAGTTAATTCTACTCATTTGAAAAGAGTTTTGAACTCAGTGTGGAAGGTAATGAGTTAATTAAATTCCTCATTACTTCAACTTAATTGGAGTAAGTTCACAGTACTCATATTCAGTACTTTAACTTATTGGGTTTTACAGTACTCGGTTGGTTTGAGTTCTCTTGATTTTATTGGGTTTTACTGAGCTCAAATTGCTTCAGTTACTCAAATGGATTAAGTTTACATCACTCATTTGTTTTTCAAATTAAATGGTTTGTTGCAATCGGTTTTCTTAAATGGTTTGAGTTGCCATAACTTATTGGGTTTAACAGTGCATTGAATTTGTATGGAATCTACTTATGCAAATACTTAATTTAGCTTTTGATGTGAAACCAGGAATTAAAACAGCATTTTAAGTAAATTCGTTGTAATTTAAGTTGACTTGCCTTAATTTTTATATATTTAGTTTATGTCATAATTTTAAGACAACAGGTGTACTAATACTTACTAATTTACTATATTTTACTATATTTACTATAATTTACGAAGACTTTTTTATAGTGTAAGGTTGTGCTACAAATAATCCATATACAAAGTGAAAAATTAATTAGAGGTGCTTTGGGATATGTGCTTCTTTTTCATCATGAAAATAATGTTGTGCTTGACACTTTAATGTGACATAAGTATGTTCCTCGACATGATTTATTTGTATTTCCTACAGTACAGTAATAGTGGTCACAATAAGGTCCCATTAGTTCATTTCAGCCAATGTATTTACTAACATGAACTAATAATGAACAATACACTGTAAAACCCAAAAAATTAAGGTAACTCAAACCGTTTGAGGAAACCAATTGCTACAAACCATTTAAAGTTAAAAACTATTCTATATGAGTAATGTGAACTAACTCCAATTAAGTTGAAGTAATGAGGTATTTAATTAACTCATTACTTTCCACAGTGAGTTCAAAACTCTTTTCAAATGAGAAACTTTCAGTCAATTTTGAGTTAACTACTCTCATTTCATTTGATTAAGTCAACGACTTCTACCATTCTACCATTTATTATTCCTCGTTCAACATTTACTAAAATCCAAAGTAGTGTTTGTTAACATTATTTAATGCACTGTAAGTTAACATGGACTAACAATGAATGACTATATTTCCATTATCAACATTAACAAAGAAGAATAAATACTGTAATAAATGGATTCATTATGTTTTTATGTTAGTTAACTTATGTTAGTAACTTTATGTTAACGTTAACTTAACTCTCGCATTCAATCTGCCCAGTTGGTGGAATGAACTCCCTAACTGCATCAGAACGGCAGAGTCACTCGCTGTCTTCAAGAAACGACTTAAAAGTCAACTATTTAGTCTCCACTTTCCTTATTAATCTGCAATTTCCTCGCTGGCTCCACCACTAATTACTACAAAAAATAAAAAATGTACTAATGTTTTGCTTCTTACACTTTCTTTACATACCTGAAACTTGTCTACAGCGCTTATTCATTGTTGCTTTTATTGTTGTGTAAATTGCTTCCCTTTCCTCATTTGTAAGTCGCTTTGGATAAAAGTGTCTGCTAAATGACTAAATGTAAATGTAAACTTATGGACTCTTATTGTATAGTGTTGCAGTAATATTCAATATATGCCTGCAGTGGATAAACTCATCTCAAGTTTTGGGTCATTGATGATCTGCTAATGGAAATTCATATATGATTTAATACAGTAGTTAAAATTAGAAGTGTATCATTTCATCAAAGTTGTCTTAAAGCAATTGAACACCTATCTTGTCCTAGGACAGTTTTGAAAAACATTTTTGATTCCCTACTGTTACCTTCTAATATCAGATGGATGAACTATGAGGAGAATAATGGCACCTCTTTGTAATCAGTTTTTTTAAATACTTCACTGATTGTTTACAGTTGAACTGAAGTTACTCCCATAATTTACACAAAGCATGATGGGCAAAGAAAAAAAAAAAATTGGATAAAGGAGCTTTCGACATGGCAAATGAATAAGATGAATAAGGAGCTGGGGGTTTAAGACGATTTCTCCATCAACCCTGATGCCGCTATCAGGTCAACAACAGCACTGGTTTGGTGTGTTGAGACTTGTTGACAACATTCCTCCACCCATTGCTCACATTTTCTCCCTGAATCCGGCTGGATTGCATATCTGAGGCAGGCATAGGCCTGTCCGCAGTCTAAAGAGCCACTCTCTCAGGAACACAGAAGTGTTGTGTCTGAGATGGTAAGTGAGGAAGAACAGGCTGCTGTGGCCTGGGGACAGATTCTCAGCGGTGGACGGTTTAATACACCAAACATGTCATTCAGCACGTACTGATGAAGGAGAGGATGAGAGGACACAAATTGGTCTTTTATTATGGATTATCATGTAGCTTTAAACACTGTTTCGTAATATTTACAGATTTTGATACAATAATATTGTTAATTAATATTATTTGTAATCATATTAAATAATAATTATTTTTATTACATTCAAAACATGTACAACACAATATAATAATTATATTTAAATTGTATACTATTAAAGATAATACTGATGTTGAATATACTGATAAAATCTATCATACGTTTTAATTTTTTTGTTAGTATTGAAATGACAATAAATTAATCATATAATCTAAATTTGAAATTTATATATATATATGAGATATGTAATATCATAAAATATAATAGTAAGAGTAGTTATAATCACCTGTATTTGTGTTGTGGCTTTGTTTTGGCTCTCTGTTTTCTCTGGTTCTGGTCGTGGTTTCTTGATCAGAGCCAGAGGCTCGTCCATGACTGGGCTGGAGAACACTGGGCTGGGGATCAGGTGAGTGGGGCTCGCTGTCGGGCTCCATGTGGATGTGGGGCTTTCAGGAATACTGAACCCAGATGACCTGCGGGCACTGTTGGCCACACACTTACTGAGGGCCCTTTCTCTTCTGAAACACAAAGTTCAAGAATTCATGACCAAACTAACCTTTATTATATTTAGCATCACATGTCATAGTTTCTGGGTCTTTACACTGTAACAAATGTTGGAAGCCAATACAAAATGGTACTAATATACGCAAAAAGTGTTCGGTAACACTTTTGAAAAACATGATCATAATGTTTATATCCGTTCCTAATATCAGAATGTCAGACATGAAGTGATTCGTCTTTTATAAATGGCTACCTGTTAGTGACTCGGAAGTAGCAATTCCAGAGAGGGAACGACGGGATATTGTAAATGATTGTCTTCAATGTGTGATACATCTAAACCGTGGTCATGAATGGCTAATTAAGTTTTCTTAATTCAAATGAGTAGAGGCTTGGACCTGGAAATTGTTTTCAATATGTCAAAGCTTAACATGAAATGTTCAGATATTTTCTTTTTAGATTTTATGTGTACGGTCCATATTAAATTCCAGCTAAGTTGCTTTGCTCTCACCACTAACCAGAACATTTTGTTTTATTCTTGCTCTTCTCTAAAGGCCACCTACTGGCAGAGAGTGAATTTGCATTTTTATTCAGCATCTCTACTGTTTTTTTGGGGGGGTATATTTTAATGTAGCATATTTTTCACAAAGCATCTTTCTGCTTATGGCGTCGCAGTGGCATATTAGGTAGTGCTGTTGCCTCACAGCATGAAGGTCGCTGGTTGGCGTTTCTGTGTGGAGTTTGCATTTGCGTGGGTTTCCTCTGGGTGCTCCGGTTTCCCCCACAGTCCAAAGATATGTGGTATAGTTGAATTGGGAAGGCTAAATTGTGAGTGTGTATGGATGTTTCCCAGAGATGGGTTGCAGCTGGAAGAACATCCGCTGCGTAAAACATATGCTGGATATGTTGGCGGTTCATTCCGCTGTGGCGACCCTGAATTAATAAAGGGACTAAGCCGAAAAGAAAATGAATGAATGAATCTCTGCTTTGTTTTGAAGTTATACAATCTAATTTGATTGCAAAAACATTTTAAAAATATATCAGAAATAGGTAGCTAATTCGAATCAGTCAACTTACTAGTTCAAAAAAGTAATCTAAAAGTAAATAAATAGCGGTGCATCACTACTTCACTGCAGCATATCTGTGGTGGACGGTACACAGTGACAGGATATTAATTTACCTCTCCTCAAGCGTCCGTCCTCTGTCTGAACTGTGCTTGCGCTTCATGGGGTGTGCGGGGCGCATGCGCACTCTGTCGCTGGTCATGTGCCGAAATCTGTCTTCGCTCCTCAGATTGGGCTGTCCTGTGAAAAGATGAGCGTGTGACTTCAGTTATGATGAATGGCATCGCTTCAGGGCGCTCACACGGTCACTGCCAGTCACCAACTCGCTTGCTTGTGAAAAGGTGTGGCAAACAAGTAAACAACTAACTCTTAATCCTTGGAATTGCATCACTGCGTGTGTATCTTAATTGTGGGAAAAAACGTTGTCGGGCCACCGTTAAATGTAAACTCCGTTAAGTGGCAAAGCGAGCCCGACCGGCTCTGTCAGTATTACTGGAGAACTACCCAGCTGATTCACCGCTAACGGTAAATGTCATTCACATTTGGAAAACATACAAGGCAAAAAAAAAAAAAAAAAAAAAAAAAACGACGACATCAGTGAAAAAAACAAATGATGATATCGCTGGCTTGTTATTCACACTGCGTTGAGGGGCAAAACAGGCTTTGTAGGTTAAAGCATGTGGTTCACAGCATGTTTACCCAACATAACGATAGTAACAGACTAATCCAAACTGAAATACACTTTGGCATTCACATGCTAATATAGTCAACAGTGTCATGCAAAGGTTGCCATTATTGTTGTCACAGTGTATCTGTCACATGTTGAGACTGAAAACACTTATTAAGTGCTCAACTTTTAGTCTCTAAAATTATTTGCTATGTAGGATTTGATTCTTATTGAATATTCAATGATACATAAGAAAACATATTAATACTGTTTTGCAGACTAATTTACAATGTGTAAACTTTTTTGCTACTTTATGCACCCTAACTTATCCATTGTTTATTACCTCACAACATTACCTATACATAATTAGTACAATATTATACTAAAGACAATGCTTTAAAGATAATATTTAACATATATTTATGTATTGTTTAATGTTTATAATGAAATGTTAATTGTATAATTTAAATTCAAGATGCTATTAAATATTTTAAAAATATTATATTAAATGTTTTATATTTATATTTTAATATAAAACAGCTCATATTATTTATATGTCTGTATTTTAATGACTATATTTAAAAAAAAAATTATTATTATTTTTAATTATGTTAAAATTATATTTACAGTATAGGTAAAATTTTGCCAAATAATTTCACTAATATGTTGCAAATCTTGGTTTTGAAGTATTTGCAACAAACCATTTTTACCAGGCTGATTATTATTCATGTATAAAACATGTTTGCAAAATTATGACAAAAATTGTAAAAATTATGTATTTATTTGAGGTTCTTGTTTTAAGCCTGGTTTAAGTTGCCGAGTTTGAAACTTTTATGAAACATGCATGCATCTGACATCTGACATCCTGAAATTAATTTTAAATGACTAATTAATAAATGATAAACCATGGTAAAAATGCTTAATTGTCAACATTTTAATGTCGTTCTTTTTTATTAGTTATAAAATATATTTAATGTTTAAGTATAAAACGTATAAAGTGTTTATAATGACTCATTATTTGCTCTTAAGAAATTTCAAAGCATCTTTAGAAGATTTCCTAACAACAATTAACATCAGAATAAAGTTAGAAATTTGTGCAACTTCCAGTAACTCACTAATGAGTCATTCATTACCATTGTCATTGTCAGATTTTACACGTGAATGTTTGCTACACACAACTCTTAACTTTCTAAAGTAGTGCTGAAACAAGGCTCATAGTCTGTGAATATCAAATCAAACACAAATATATTCGACCAGTCAGGACCTGTGTCGATTTGATAGCTGATTAGCATCTTGAGGTATTGCAGCCTTGAATGAAGTGTAGCGGTAGGCGCTATCGGACTTCAAGCGGATAACGTTCACTAAATGCTCAAATGGCTCGGGCGATGAGGGGGCATTGTTGGCACAGCCTTCATACACACTCACAGATCTGCAGAGCGCTGGACTGTGACAAGGCAGCTTGACTCTGCATGACAGTGGATGGGGGATTGAGTGTAAACCACACCTTAAACCTTGACTGATGACTGATTTTTAGTGCCTCAGGGAGGGATATTTTTCTAGGGGAGATTAAAAACCAAAAAAAGAAGAAAAGAAAACCCACATCCTTTTCGTTATCTCTTATTATCTCTTTCATTTAAAGTCTAAAAACACACATCAAGTCCTCATCTCAACTGACATTTAAAATATGAAAATATTTGAATACTTTCAAAATTATTTAATTTATATAGACTTTACACTTCAAAATGCTGCATTGTTTTAACTCAAATTTGAGACAAACATGGTTAAAAGTTTAATTAAAAATTTAACCCAACATTTTGACTTGCTCATATTTGACCCAAAGTTGGGTTAAAACAACAAAGCATTTTTAGAGTGCACTATTTAAGCTGCATAAATAGTCATGTATAACATAATTGCCACAATACATTTTCTTCTATTGCTCTGTTCATTAATCTAATAATAATGATAATTAAACAATTATTACAGATAGCATGCACACACAATGTTCTTAAACTGGCATTAGGTAACCAAAAAAGTGATAATTACCCTCTAAGATGTATACTTTGAAACCACTGCTCATCCTGGTTATGTAGTGGAAATTAGTGACCGCCATTCCTGAATCTTCAGCGCACAATTCTTCTAAATCTGAGTTGAGTTGTGAATTGTTCCTCGCTCAGCGTTTGAATTGTCAGTGAGCTGCACTGCTCTGTGCTTTCCATCAACATGCCTCTGCGGCTTCTTATTGGCTGGCTGAAGGCCAAGCCCATCCCTCTGCTTTTGTTAGCATGAGGCGACCTTCTAACACAGGTGCCTTATGGGAGGAGGCAAACCAAAAGCTGTGAATTGCCTGTTGTCCATCAACCCCCCCCCCCGCCCCCAATATTTAAAAAAGAAATGACATCCGAATTTCATTTGAATATAAAATTAGCAAAATGAAAATGCGTGTTATATTAGTTTAATAATTTATGATCAGACACAACAAACAAATTCTAGGCGAGATGAGATTTCATAAATATATAAAGAAATGTGTATCTGTTTATGTGACCTCATAGGATTACTGTGGCAGGCAGGTTGTTCGAAATAAAACAATAAGGTCGTACATTGGACCTTTTTCTCCAAGTATCAACACGCCAGGGAGCAATGAATGGTTTCCCTGTTATGTTATGATTCTTCTTGAGAAACAGATTTCCTGGCATTACAAACTTAAAATTCCACGATTTCGATGATATTTACTGACTAATGCACTTCTATAAGGGTGATTGTATACATAATATATATAATATAATATAATATAATATAATATAATATAATATAATATAATATAATATAATATAATATAATATAATATAATATAATATAATATAATATAATATAATATAGATATTAATGTAAAACTGATAAAAAATTATATTCAATTCAAAGGATTGGTGATTTTGCTTTAGCATATAATGACAATGTTTTTGATCATTTGAATTCAAAGCTACATTGCCACATAGCTGCCAGTACTTTAGACTTTTTAGTGTGACACAATCCTTTAGAAATGTGTCATTTACATTCAATATAGTGCATACAACTCAAGGCACTCATATGCTAATGTGTTGCACAAGAAACATTTCCTGGGCTTATTAATGAAGTGTTGTGCTGCTTCTTTTTTGGTGATGTTTTATTGAATGAAGAGTTTGAAAAGACAGATTATAATTATTTAAATTATAACATTATTTTAGTATATAAATGTCTTTATCATCATTCGTTCATTTAATGTATGCATTCTGTGATTTCCCCCCTGTCAAATATGTCAAATATAGTATTTTGAAAATATTTTGCAAGTATAAATGCAAGTAGGCATGGGCTGGTTTAAGATTGTGATAGTATGATAACCTTGCATAAAATATCATGTATTATGGTTTCACAGTACTTTGATTACTGCTCTAAAATAAGTTCTTTGTAAATGTCTGGGTACAAAACAATAACTTTTTCCACATTGAACACAGTATATTTTCTTTAAAAAAAACAATAAAAATATTTTGAACAGTAGCTTTTGATGTGAAGGGTCCTTTTCTGCTGGAGGTACTGTTGCCCTAAAAAACTAATTAAAATAGTCAAGAAAACAAAAACAAACCAAAAAAAAAAAAAAAAAAGTCAGAACATAACAGAACATTCTGGCGTTTTTTTAAACCATGACATTTTCCAAAATGTGCACTTCAGTGAACTGAGCTTCTTTTATCCACTAAACTTCAATTGTAATAATGTCACATCATCATGCAGAATGTGATCATCATTTTAGTAACTTTTTTAGTACTATTTCAGTAACTTAAGAAGTGACATTATTAAAATCCACTTTTTTTTATATACATTATTCTGGCGATAAACTCATATGGAATTATAAAAATGTTAAACACTACTCAAAACCACTAGCTTTCCAAATCCTTTTGGAACTTCACCATCCCACTTTTCCTTCCCTGGATCCTTTCAGAATCCACAAACAAGTCCTGCTCTGTCTTTTGTTTCCTCTCTAGGAGTCAGCACCTGTCGACAACCCCTCCCCGGCCCTGATCTAAAATCTCACCCGACTGCATTTTTCAGAGTGTTTAGCCCACCTGAGCTGCAGTCATTCCACCCATCTTGCCCATACATGCACTTATGTTGTGTGAGTTTTCAACCTTTATGCATTGGGCCTTTTCTTTCCACAGATCTGTTTCTCCTATTTCTGTTTTGGCAGAAGGACAAAGACTTGAGAGTGTTGAAGAGAGCTTTGTACGGCGTGATCCTGCCTGAGCATGCTAAAGCCACAAATGCTTACATACATGACTGAAACACACTCCCTCTGGACACACAGTTAACCACATTTCCATTACAAGGAAATCATTTAGAGTGTTGCTGACTACACAAGGACAACCTTTGAACATATATTTTTTTAACCCCTTAAGTGTCGCGTTAACTAAATTTAATTATTCATTTTTATAACTACACATTTTGAGCCCACTTTATAAAGTATGTGATATAGCTCATAAGTGATATATGCATATTATATAAAATTTCTTCAAGGTGTATATAAAAATGAAGAATTTGAATGCAAATATTTCTAAGTGCCATCTAGAATTATGCTCTTAAATGAACAATTTGCAGGCTCTTGTGTGTAGGTTCAGTATTTTCACTGAATAGGACAATGAATAGGTTCTTTTGGTTGTCTTTACAGTGGATTCATTGAACATAAACTCGTGCTCATTTTAGAAGAAAAATTCAGATTGCACTTAAAGGTCTTTGCATTCGAACTCTTCAAATATATATTAACTGAAAAACCGTCCCACATTAGGGTGTTAAAACAGTTAAAGGGATAGTTAGATTTTTATCATCGTGCTTTAAACTCTTCTGAGATTCTTTCTCATGTTGAACACAAAATATATTATTAGAAGAATGTTGAAGACCGGTAGCCATTGATTTGAATGATTATTTTTATTTTAGCTATGGATGTCAGTTCCTGTTTATAACATTCTTCATCTTATATTTTCAGCTGAAAATTTTTAATTATTTGAAAGCGAGTAATTTTGGGTGAACTGTTTCTCAATTTCTAGAATACAGACAATATAGGTACAGCAATTTACTTAGAACCATGTGTACAGTGTGAATTCTCTTTGCTCACACTGTTTATTTTGTAACATTCTCTGTGAGTCTGCTGTGATTGATTGCCTCTCACTACCTGCGATTTAGCATTGTAATCAACTACTGTAAATATTTACTGTACTTAATCCCCATCATTATTGGATTGTCATCTGTTTTGAAACCGCATTTCCCATGATGCCACACACAACTCAATACAGACCGGTGAGAAAGTTTCTCACAATTATTCCAGTGCTGAGGTTTCCAATTTGGTTAAATGGGACACTATGGACCTCTTTGTGGAAGGCTATGTATATCTGAAGGTCAAATTGTGACTATATTTTGTGCTGAGTCTGACTGAAAGAAGTACCAAACACGCTTTCATTGTTGTTTGGCGTCACATAGGGAGTGGCGACATCTTGTGGTTGAAATTCGGCATTTTGTCACCACCATAAACTGTAAAATATAGGTCACCACCGATTTATTCATCGCGTTTAACCCAAAAAATACGGTTCACACAACGTGCTTTGCGTATATTCAATTGTCAACCAAATAAGAAAATAAGAATTTCACTCAAAACAGTTTTTTTTGGCTTGAGATTGGTGTCATGTGGGAAAATTTGGCGGGAAGTAAATGTTGCGATAGAAGCTGTTTCGGTAAAACGGAATGCATATGCTTTTTAACAGTTGAACAGGCACGTTAAATACAGCAATATTTATTTGACTACATGTCTATATAACATATAAAGCACTTTTAAATATGGCTTTTAGTCACATTGCTATATTGGCACTTGCTCTTGAAGAGGCTTGTTACATTATGTAATTTTTAGACAACAGCCCAATACAATATTGATTTAATTAAAAATATTTGAATATCAAAAATATTGGGTGGAATAACACTTAAAACAGTTGTTACCTTTAAATAAAAACGAAAGAGTTTATCAGATTAAAATGACACAATTTTACCAAAGTAGGCTACAAATATATAAAAAGTCATTTAATTGAAACTTAAAACTAAACTAAAATTTCCAATCTTTAGACACATTTAAAATGTTTTCCCAGATAAACTAGGTCTTTATACAAGAAACTGATGCCTTTTACTTTAGGATCCCCCTGATGGCGATCATATTTAGGATTTTATAATCAAAAAGAATAAAAATATAAAAATTGTTAAAACATTATGTAGCCATAAACTCATATAGACTTTGAAGAATATGTTTATTTATTTATTTAATTAAATATGCAGATAGTGGCATGCTGGCTGTTTTCATATGTATGTTAGGTGTATTTGTAAATGGTGTCTGTTGTCATGAATAACACTGACTGTCAGAGCCAGTCATGAGTTTGTTTATGAATAGTTTTTCTCATTCACTAATGGAAGAGCTTTGTGAAGCTGGGTCTAAGCTTCCTTTGTTAAATTAATGGCTCAGAATTAGGGTCAACACCAAAAATTGACACTTCAATTCATGTCATGCATACTGTATGGACAGACTTGAGCAACTGGTTCCTATTAATGTATCAACTATTTTCTGAAAGAAAGGTACATTTTCCCTGTAAAACAGCTCACTAACAATTAGAAAAAGATATAATAATAATTGAGTTTTATTGTATACCACTGCAGTTTGTACCAAAAAAAAACAAAAAAAAAAAAAAAAAACAAAGAACAGCAAACACTGAAAAATCTGGAAAAAAGCAACAAAACAAATGAGACATACCAAAAGTTACAACTATTACTGTTTTAAATCAGGTTTGAGGGCAGAAAAATATAAATCTGTTTAGTGAATGAATGAATAAATGCATAAATAAAATGAATAGCAAATAAAAATAGCTGTTTAAACAAACAAACAAACAAATTAATTAATTAAGCAAAGATGTGTTAAATTGAACAAAATCATTTTAATAAATGATTAATAAAAAGCAAAATTGTATTAATATAGGAAAATTAAATACAAAATACATTACAAATATACTTAAAAAAAAAAAAAATATATATATATATATATATATATATATATATATATATATATATATATATATATATATATATATATATATATATATATATATATATATACAAAAAGCAAAATGTTATTTTGT